TCTTCACTGTAGCTCCACCCAGAACTTCATTAGAGCCACCTTCCAGTCTGTCTCCAGGATGGTTACACAGTATAAATACATCTGATAACCAGCTGAACATGAACACACGAGACACGGAAAAGCAGACAGTTGAATTCTCTGTTAACTTCAACGGACCTTCTGACAATGGCTAACAAACCTGGAGGATGGAGTGACACAATGGATGCCACTGAGAAAATTCAGAATATTTGTGATCAGGTGAGATTCAATCTACCTTCATTCTTCACCACAAACCACACTCAACTCTCTGAGTGTCTCTCAACCCTGGTTTATATTTCAGTCTGGATTTACATCACATTTTAATTCATTCATACGCAGGTGAAGGTCCGAGTGGAGGAAAAGACCCATGAGAACTATCGGGAGTTCAAAGCAGTTAAATACATATATCAAATTGTGAAAGGAGAAAACTACGTCATCAAGGTAAATAATATTGTGATATTTGAAAACTAAAAATGAAAGGCTCAGATGTGTCTTTGTATGATATACAGGTTGAATTAACATTATTTGTGACATCCAGTTGAATCTGATATCATGTCAAATTCATGGCAGGACAGTAAACACCAGTTAAACCATAAACACACCTCTGATGGTAGAAGGTCCTCAGGGTTCAGCAACACAAGATCGAATATATTCTTTCAGATGTCCAATGTTCCTCTCTTTTTTCCTGCAGGTTCATGTTGGAGGAGAGGACTACGATCATCTGAATCTCTTCCAAGCACTTCCATGTGATAGAGGAGAGATTGTGCTTCATGATGTGCTGCAGCACAAAACCAAAGATGACCCCCTCATTCCTTTTAACTGATCAAACAACTTGTCCCAACAGTTAAAATAGGCTGCATTCTCATATTAAAGTGCTCTGCTTCTTTAACCTGAAATGATTTGACATTGATTTTGAATTTATTGACACAATAAAAATATTTGGTGTTGGGAAGCATCAAGTTGAATGCACAACCTTCTATTGAAATAATAAAGAAATCATAAAATAAAATCTCTATTTCTTGTGGTTCTTATATGCAGCATTTGTGTGATATCTAAAATATATGTTTTCTTGGCGTTAAGAAACGGTGACAAATGGATCAATTTTATTGTGATTCTTATATGAAGTTATTTGTCTGATTTCCAAAGTAGAAATCATCTTGGCTGGAAAAAAATGGTTATAAAAAAAATTGAAAAGGTGAATAAATCTCTATAGTTTACACAAACTTTAACAAAGAGATAGATTTTGAGCTTTCTCATATTGTGTGTTCCGATCACACAAACCAGGAAACACTGTCCTTGCGTGTGTTAGATGACAGGTGTCCTGATGAACATTCTTCTGAGAATAAATAAAAAGAGTGGGGAGCATCAAGAATCTAACCAAACAAGGAAATACACTGACACTAATGACCAACTGTCCTGAATCAAACAATGAAGAAGAACAACATAACGCATCTACAGCCTGCCAGCAGCTCTGTGAGACTGTACTGAGGCACAGTGGTGCTATGAGCTCAATGCTAACACGCATTTCATACATTCTTCTGAAATCATAAAAGGGATCGTACAGAACCTAACCAAATGAGGAAATACACTGACAATAAGTCCTGTCTGTCTTTCCTCAATAAAGCAAAAACAAAGAAGACCAACAGTATGAAGAGTTGACAGCCTCTAAAGTCTAAACTAGAAATCTAGACTTACAGAGTGGGTCAGTTGTCTCTGAATTAACTCTTTGGTCAACATGTTGGTTTGTCTGACAGAAAACAATAGATTCATTCAAATGTGATGCAACACACCATTATCTGTATGTAGGATGAAAAGACTTGTTGGGCAAAGATGATTGCTGCTGGATGTAACTTAAGGAAACCTCCAATGTCACTTGTCAATTCTTGCGAGTTAAAAAACTACTCAAATCATCAGTTGCTCTTAAAGTTGCCAGTTTGTTCTTTTGTACCTGCATCTCTTTTATTGTGGGTTTGATTTTCCTGAATGTGAAAAGGAAATATGTGACAAGTACTGTAGAGTCGGTTCAAATGTTGTCTTATTTTTAAGGTGATATTTTCACCTAAAAATATCTACATGTAGTTTACTTATTTAAATGTCTCAAGCAGTATATTGGGTTTCTTCACCACAGCCATGTGAGGTTACATCTTCACTTTAGCTCCACCCAGAACCTCACAGACAACACATTGCTTTAAAAGATTTTATTGTCTTTTTAAAAAACAAACAAAAAAACACTCATTTTGTACAATGTTTCTCATTAAAGAACACACTAAAGACTGCTGTACAGCTGTGGTAATGCAATGCAACAGACACAATGGAATACAAGTGTGTTGGAGAAGAGGTCAGGTCGGTCTGGATGGTCTGCAGCCTGCAGTCAGGACTCAGCAGCAGGTCGTAGTTTCAGCTCCAGTCGGGATTTGAACCTCGAGTGAAGCAGCTCCTCTCATCAGACGGAGTTTCACTTCACCTTCGGAGGCGTGTAGTGGATTCTGCACCTTTCACTGAAAACCTAAACACGGCAAATCAGGGATAAGTAACTTATAAAACAGTGACAGAGCATTTAGGTGTGATTATAGGACATTACTATTAACAGTGAGCCTACCTTCAGACTTCTATCATTGACAACTTCTTCAACATTCAGCTCTGATTGCATAAGCTTTAACTGGAAACAAGGAAGGAAAAATGCGTTACTTGGTTCATATTTTCAAACATTTATGATAGTTTGTGAAAGATTGTTAATATAACGCTACGTAAAGGGTCAGTTCAGCTAAACTGGAAAAATAAAAACATATTCTCTCTATGACAACTATTTAGCCATGAAGACAGTTGTATAGATGAGACAAGACAGATTATGTGTCATAGTTTTGAGATACACGTCTGAGATTTCTGTCACCACAAATAAAAGCAGCAGAAGTCAAAATATTCAACTTTTAGTTTTCTATGGGTCAAATATTTCCCATATATAAATTTGATATCATATTTCATTAGATCCCCTCTGCCTCCTAAATGCCCACTTCTTTTAAAACACACCATAGATATGCCTTTTATAAACATGTGTTATTATCTATAGAGTGGTGCTGGAATGAGTCCTAAAACCTAGAAATTAGTTGGCATTTTTGGACTTCCCTCTTCTCAACGTGGCTTTTTGGTTAGATGTCTGAAATAAGGTACTGTATATAGTTGACACAAGCTTAAGAGATTTTAACTTTTATTCTGAGGTATAAAATATATAAATACTCATATCGTGACTTTTGAAGCTTTCAAATGTTATTAAAAAAAGTCTGTTGCTAACAAGTGGCTATATGGAACTACAAAACCTCACGCCGACTAGTCCGCCTCCACAGCCTTACAGTGTATATTCACGCTCATGTGGCCATGATTTAGTTTGTTTATAGCCTAAAGATAGATTTTTAATGAAGATTATCTTGCTGAACAAAACATGTAAATAAACTTGTCATTGCCACAGAGCATATTTGCTGCAGTTGTCCAAAATCCCATTGGCTTTTGGTCAAGGGAACCAGTGCGCTTACTCACTGAATAGTGTTCCCCGTGATGAGCAAACTGAATCAAATGTGTGAAATTGGAGGAGTGCCATTTCAGGCAACAATGTCCTGGTTCCTCTGGATATCACAGAGCTTACTTTGGCCGTGAACAACTACTTTCTACTGAAGAAATAGTCCCAAAAAAAAATAAAAAGTGAGAAAATGTGCCCAATTCTCTCCAAATAAAGATTGCATTTCAGTGAGTCTTCCAGCTCCAGACGGCTCTCATGTCACAGCTCGGTGGTGTTTAAAGCCCTCTAGTGTTAGAAACAGGACCTACCTTGGTCTGCTCCTTTCTGAGCAGTTTGATGAGTGCCAGGTTGTCGCTGTCTTTTGCTCTTTGTTCACGCAGTTGTCTCATCTCCTCTGAAGTTTGAGCTATACAGGACTTGATAGCTCTGTCTCTGGTCAGATGGGCGTCCATCATCTGTGGAACGCATGAGATTATTACTGGAACTGGTTCAGTACGATATGAAAAAGCCAGGAGGCAACTTTGACACAGGCGCATTATTTTAGTCACGACTGTCACTCACAGATTCATAGAGTTGTTTGCACGTGTGCGTGGCATCCACTTTGCCTGTGAAGGAGACTGTGGGCACTGTGGTGTTCAGCGCATAGACGATGCGGTCATCTATGTTGCGCATCACCTTCAGCATCTCCTGAGAAAGAGACAGTCAGCAACTTCACGTCAACTAAAACCAAAGCAATGATATGAACCTCAATTATTTTCTTTTGTTATGTTGCAATACATTACATTTTTTAATTGATCTCTGGTTATCAAAGCAGAGAATGATGTCAAACCAAGCATGTCTCCACATATCTGAGAACAGTACACTTGATTACTTTTTGTCAATCAACAACACAAGGAATGTTGCAGAGAATCAATACAGAAACAGTGGACTATTCGGCTCTCTGTGAGCACTAGAGAGAAGTTATACTATATCTTAAATTAGCAAAACTTGTGCACAAATATAGTTGATAACAGCTTGAACAACTGCGTATGATTGCAACATGTTTCATGCTGGCGCTCAGCCTGCGTGCAAGGCTTTCTGTGGCACAATTGGGCAAAAACTAAAGCACATTAACTTTCCTGCAACAAGTGATTGCCTACTTGCGACACCTTGTGAGGTGGTGGCATGCTGATCCCTGGGTCTTCACAATTTTAGACACCATTCTTGTTTTGTTTTGTGTTTTTTTAACGTTATCTTGAAAAGTAGGCCAGTTTAGTTGTAATGTAATGTGACTGGAGATACTTTATCAACTTCAACAGGTTAGGTATATCACATACCGGCTGACCGGGTTCATCTGAAGACCCGTGACAGTGATTTTTAAACCATGTGCTGACTGTTTCAGCCCTGCTGATCCAGTCTGTGTCAACACTAGTGATCAGGAGGGTCACCCATTCACTGGCTTGACGTTACACAGAAAACAAACCACACAGCGTGTGAACTTTCAAGAGGTTCTGGTTCAGAACGCAGCAAATCAATAACAAGTTAGTACAGATCGTTGAATTATTCGTTGAAATTACCTGAAACATTGAAAAGTCCTCACAATCTAAAGTTCCACCGGACGCAGCCATGGTGGAATGCTTGGTCCTTTCTACACAGAAGGCTGTTAAAGACAATGCCTGAACAAAAAAAACCTCGGTCAAGGTAAATATATTACCACATTGTATTATAATTCCCACGTTCATACCTAATATTAAAAGCTCTATCGCGTTATAAGTCAAATGGCAATGTCTCTATCAAAATACAAGTACCATCGAAAAAATTGACAAAGAACAGGTACATAACTTGTGATGGAATCCTCCGTTGTTGTATCAAAGTCTGTTCCCCATCGATTTATAATGCCCCTTACCCCTTACTTTAACCTAAACTGAAGCAAAACCAGTCATCTCTGTGATGCCTAAGCATAATTAAACAATAACCCCACTTAAGATATAACTCCAGCCATGTACAGTAGACACTATTCGTGGAGGAAACAGACTTTAACGAAAGATCCGCATCATTTTTGATCAGGCAAACAGCACATGCTCCTATGCTTCGACAGGGGGTCCTGTTGGGCTGTTGTTGAAAACGCTGGTTGACTTTCAACCAACCAACAGCTGACGGAAGTGTCACGACGCAGTTTAATGGCTTGATAGACACGGTGTTTCTTTTTTTTAACTTTAACATATTAAAAAAAAATATGAATTTCGTCAGGTCTCGCCTTTCCATTGGCAACTTTTTAGGTTCGTATTGTCAACTTTAATTTGTGTTATTTGTTTTTATTAATAACTGCGTGGAAGCCTCTCCTACTCGGTATCCGTGTATTTGTAACTTAACTCTACATATTAACGCTAGCTTGCAGCTACAGTTGTATTAATCTTACATACGACTAGCTAGTGATAGTTTAATATATTTAATATTATTTGTACCTCTTGTTCTTTGAATGTCATATAATAAGAGTAAATGATCATGACGCGGCCATGAAAGGTGTTGATAGCTGTACCTGTATTTGGGACATTTGTAGGTCGTGTTCAGGTTTAATCCAAATTAAAGCCTCACTTAATACTTCGACCTAGCAAACCCTTTTGTTTTGGCTTTGTTACCCTGACACACCTCCGGCACACTGGCTGTGCCCTTATGATTGCTCCTTTTAAATGTTGTGATGCATCTTGTGAGTACTTTTATATTCATGTAAAATGAGATATTTTTACATTATGATTAGAGCTGAAAGAATGAGAACAGAAACATAATCAGCAACTGTTTGGTAATCTTTAATCTGTAATCATTTTACAAGCAAAAAAGACAAAATATTTCGAAGTTCCAGCCTCTCAGTTGTTGGGATGATTTGCTGCTTTTCTTTGTCTCACGTGATAGTTAACAGAATCATTGTTTGTTTGTTTGAGAAAACAAACAACTTCAGGAAGCCACATCAGGAAATTGAGATTGGCGTTTCCCCAATTTCCTCACATTTTATAGACAAGTTTATTAATCAAGAAAATATTCAGCAGCTCTCCCAAATTCTAAATTATTAGTTTGATTTAGCCTTAGTTATGATTCCTCCCTAGATCCAATACACTCACGGTCTTTTTAAACATCTCATCAGGTCAGAGGTGCAGACAGGTCACTGAAACATGGAGCCTCAGAGGGATGTGCAATAAACCACAGGAGGTCAAAGCAGAGCCTCTGCCTGCAGTTCCAGCACAAGGTAGAGTTGTAGATCATGTGGGCACACAGATTACTATCCATGTTGTCTTGTGAGTCATTAATGCTTCAATCAGTCAAGTGTTGCAGTCCTACAAACTCGCACAGAGATCGCCAATGCTCTAAACATGGGACCTTTGTTGCATGTCACACCTCTCATCCTGTTTCCAGTCTGCCACTACACTCTTCATCTGTCCAATGAAGGCAAAAAATGATCTTCAAAATATAAAAAAGAAAGTTGTATGTCTCAGAACTTTCGTACATCACAGGTCACTTGTTGCCATAGCAAGTGTGTGAAAGTTTTCTTTAGTCCCAGCGGGAGGAGGGACACAGGAAGCGGGGTTACAATCGGGGGTGATGGAGCTAACGACTGGGGCTTGTGAAACTAAACTTCTCTGCGTTTTTTTCCTTCAAGATGTGGATTTGTGGACATAAACTCTGTTCGTTCTAACGTGTGCTTTCTTTCACACAGAGCCTCGTGCCGGGTTCAGACTCCCGGGCTACAGACCCTCAAATCTGGACAAGAAGATGCTGGTCTGGTCGGGACGCTTCAAGACAGCAGACCAGATACCAGAGCTTGTGTCGTAAGTAGCCTTTTCCTGTTTACACCAGACCTCCCAGTACACTCGCATCCGATTGGCTCTTTGCGTGATGTAGTTAAGATAATTCACACGAACAGAGCTAACTGGATCGGCGGTGGTGCTGCTGTAGGTCGCCGATATTCCAAGATGAGTGCCATTCAAACAAGGCAGGAGGTAATTACTGTTGTTCCTGAAATCAGGGTGGAGATCATATCTGGTCTGCTGCAATGATAAAAGACCCGACTGTCACGCAGACAAACTGCAGACCTTCCCGCTTCCTTCACTCACAGCGAACCAAAATGCAGTATAAAAATGTTAAAATGATGCTGTAATATATTGATTTAAGCGAATGAGAGAAGCATTAATAGCTGATGGTGATTGTTGACATATTGCCCTTGTATAAAGGAACACGCACAACACTTTTAATAGTGTGCCGAGCTTACAACAGCGCAATGTATTTGATTAGGATATTGTTTTCTTAATGTATTCAAGTATCTGGCTACACTGATGTTTGTTTGTGCACCTGCCCGTATCACAGGTTTGAGATGATTGATGCTGCCAGAAACAAAGTGAGAGTGAAAGCCTGCTACGTGATGATGGCGACCACAATAGGGGCCTGTCTGATGATGGTGTTCCTGGGCAAACGGGTGAGTGGCAATAGATAACAGATTGTGTTTGCATGCATTGGTTTTCTCTCCAGTTACATCGTTTACAACAACGTGAAAGGGCTGTTTTCTCTCTGCATTTGGTGCTCACGAATGAACCCTTCTGTTCTACACATGACATGTAAATGTTACCACTGTTGTGTATTTTAGAGCAAATACAAATGATGCGGAACAGACAATTTTTCAAATCTTGTCGCAGTCTGTAGGCCGGCACGAGTCCCTAACGGCTCAAAACATGGAGAAAAAAGCGAGATGGAGGGAGGAACTACAAAGAGAGAAGGAAGCTGCCCTTGTCCTGTCTGAGAAGGCTCAGTGATGGAAGACGACTAGTCCCTGTATACTCCTTTAGCCCCTAATACTGGGCCAATGGTGTCCCCCCCTTCTTGCTGTATGCATCACAGTTTCAGAGCTCTCCACTACCATCCTAAAGAGCAACAAAAAAATATCAGAGCAGTTGATAGTCTATCCAAAACTATTAAGTAACACATAACTATGGATTATGCATTTTGGAAAGCCAAACATAAGGTTTTACCTTTTCAGTGAATACATTGAGGTTATAAACTGGCACCTGTTTTTTGAGGAACCGGCACTAACAGGACAGGTGAAACATGAGCTTAATCTTTTATAGTAGAGGTTTTATGAGTTATAATGAAATGTTGTCATTTACTAAACAGCAAAATAATAATTTTCAGACAAGAAATCAATCGAATAGACGCACCAATAAAGTTTTCCATCTATCGATGCTTCTAGTAAACTTCTGAGTACTTCAAAAGCTATCCACCATTAACACGTTGGGTATTCCTGTTTAAAAATGACATGAAGACCGTTCAGCCCTGAAGGGTTTCAATGGTCTTCAGTTCTAAGAGAATGTTAAGTGGTCATGATCCACCTGCGTTATGGTCTGTCGTGTCCTGGTACGATGTAAGTAGGCTGGTTTGTTTATGACTGATGTGACATCTGTTTGTATATAGTCAACGCCAAAATAAAAATCAAATAAAGTATTGCTTCGTGAACATTCTCGTCTGATTTAATGACATGATTTAAGTTTATATAAACTGCAAACTTTAAGCTAAAGATCTCAGTTGGTTACTTCTCACTATTTATAGATGAAACAATGAATTGAGAAAATAATCTTCAGATTAATTGAAAATAAACCTTTCACAGAGGAACCACATTTCTTCAGCTGTGTGGCAGTAAAGGAAATCCTTCCCATAATGATTAACTCTGTACACAAATTACAATGAAACTGATTCACTTACACTGTGGTTCATGAACCAGCTTTTATGCAAATGGAATAATAGGGACAGTTGCACAAACTCAATACAACAAACGGTAATTAACATGTAGAGCTGGTAATCTCTTGCAGAGATTTCAATAAAAGTAAGCAATGTTAAGAGGACTTGGTAAACAAACATTCAGTTCTGCTAACTAAGGTGATCACCAGTATTTTCAAGTTTTTATCTGGATTTTTGTTGAAATTATCTGGAAGGATTCCTGTTAAATAAAGTGTATGGCACCATCAGCAACATGGCAGATGCTAACCCCAAATATAAAAAAAAGCATTGTTTTTTTGTTTTTTTTAATAAAGACCAGCTTCAGACCCAATAGCTGATATATGTGTTGATGTTTCAGCAGATCAAATTGGAAAATGCTACCTGAATATGTTGGAAAGACATTTAGACTGCTCATGTTCCAACAGCCAATTTTCCAAGAGTCTGACTTCCTTTGTTACAATACAGTTTTTCTAGCTTTGCTGAGGCAGCATGATCTACTGATTGTAATTAGTGTGCTAACAGTCCACAATCTGTGGGAAGGGTAAACAGTGAAGTACATTGTAATCCTTATCATACCAGAAGGGGGTCAAGGATTCAGACCGCACCTCTTTACGCCTCGCTTCCTGAGGAGGGAGAAGCCGCGTCATCAACCAATTCAATAGTTAATGCAAAAACTATGGTATATTCTTGAGGAGCAGGTATCGGTCCTGAACTAAAGTGCTGTAAATGAAATGAAATTAAGGAAAGATAATACAAATTCCCGCTGGTCTGCTGCTGGCCAGATTCCAGGGTTAAATAGTCTGCTTTGTCTCGTCCAAGTCTGTCTAATCGTCTCAGTGCGAGGGAAGACTCCAATTCCCATGGCTCCATGGGGTATTTCACATCACACCAGAGGCAGTCTAAACTCCTCAGGATGAAGCCTGTGCAGGTGGAAAGTCCCATTACTAGATAAAGGAATGCATGATATGAGATCCAGGAGGGAACGCAAGCAGCCTTGTGGACAAGCTCCACCCCTCAGCGACAGTCAAGTTCCTAATTTGTCCATCTGTGGTAACTTTTCCAATGGCCGGAGAGAGGAGATGAGGGAATTCAACCTCCCATTTTTGAGTTATTTAAGTGCCTTTAGTAGAGGTCAGTTGAGTCCTTGGGTTGGGACTGTGGCCACGTGGCCCCAGTGTGGGCAGTTCAGTCCAAAGACCACAAACATGTGATCAACGTCTCATGGTCAGTCCAGTGTTTAGGTTAGATCATTCTTCTGTCTGTGTGTGTGTGTGTGTGTGGGAAAGGGGGGTAAAAATCACGTCCATGTTCGTCTGTCTTGCGAGTCCTAAATGCTTCCATCAGACAAGCAGTGCAGTCCTACAAACTCCCACTTGATCAGAGATAGGGTTGGCCAATCCTACAGGAACACCGAGAAGTGCTTTTCATTTGGGATGAGCTGAGGAAATCCAAAAAAGTACGACGGAGTGGTGTTACAGGGACAACCTGCGAGTAGGAGACCCCGGGGGCCTGAGCGGCTAGCTGGGGGTTCAGACGCAGAGGTGAGCTCAGCGCAAGACAGAACGATGAGTGAAACCGTCACAAACTGGCCGACAAGACTGCAGAACGTGACCCACGTTTGACGCTACGCGCACACACACATGTGCTCCTGTAATGTTACATTTTTCATAATCATGATAATGATTAAATCAATCTCTCTGACGATGAGGAGGGGGGGGAGCCGTGGGTTGTCGTAACCCTTGATCGTGGCAGTGGGCAGAGAGTGAGAGAAATGAGCAGAGGTGAGGATGAAGGTGGAGCACATGGGGGGGGGGAGATTTAGCATTATAGCTGGAAGCCTTCCATCGGGGCCTCACACTGCTGGAAGAGGAACTGCTGCTGCTGCAGATCGACGGCTGGAGCCAGAGACGGGTCCTCGTCTTCGGTGTTGAAGTAGCGCTCGATCAGGTCGAAGGCTTTCTGGTAGATTTCCTGGTTCTCGTGTCCCTGCAGGAACTCCAACTTGTCCAGACCTGGGAAGAAGGGAGGCGGTGCTCGATTAATTAACAGCCAGAAATTTAAATAATTTATTCACAGTTCATTGACCAGGTTTAACTGTCTAGCAGCTGCTTCCAGTGCATCAAATGTGAGGATATACTAGTTTTCTCTGGTTTAAACCAGCATGAATGCAATCATTTTAATCGTGTGTGTGTGTGTCAGTGTACACTAACCATAGGCCTCTTCAATTAGTGCACAGTAAGGGTTGATGCCTCCTCCCCTCTTGGCCTCCAGTTCTCCCAGTCGCAGGATGTTCTCAAGGCCATTTAGAGCCACCTGAACGATTTTGGAGTCCATAAGTGTGAGCAGGTCACACAGAGGTTTTATACAGCCGAGCTCCACAAGGTGCCTGCAGAGGGGGGGGGTACAAACACAGATACAGAGTTGAACATGTGTTACTCATTTAAAGCAAATAACTGTCTTTGGCTCAACAATGCACACAGTGCCTGATCAGTAAAGCACACACACCCTATCAAAAGTCTCCCTACTGCTTTAGATGATGATTACTTCTGTATTTGAAAGTATCTACTTCACATTTTCTCACAACATTTTGCAAAACATTCTGTTTTGTATTTAATTTTTGGATTTTCTCTATTTTTATTCATTTATTTTCAGTTGTAAAATACAAAACGTAGAACTTTAAAGCCACCATGAATATGTAATACTTGCCCTAAATAAGAAGAAACAGAATACTACTTACTTTTATGAGCATTAACTCTGATTGGAAGAGCCAAATGCTAACTATTTCTGACAGTGTCAGTTAGTCACTAGCTCTTAAACCATCATCCATTTGAAAGGAATAAGCCACAGCTGTATACTGCATGTTAAACTGCATCAGTGGTCTTACCTTATTTGCTCTGCAGAGCCCCCCGAGGTGGCATTGGTAATTGCCCAGGCCGCCTCCTTCCTTGTGCGAAACTCTGCTACCTGCAGGATAGTGATGAGAGGAGGCAACAGGCCCGCGTCTATCACCATCTAATAAGAAGGGAAAAGACTTTATTAGAAGAGGAAATGCTCATGTCAACTTTTCAACCTTAACTTTCCAAGTTATTCAGAGAGACACACACACACACACACACACACACACACACACACACACACACACACACCTGTATTTGTGCTCGGTTCCCTGCGGTGATGTTGGAGATCGTCCAGCAGGCTTCCTTCTTGATGGACTCCTTGGGGCTACTCAGGAGGTGAAGTAGGGACTGCAGCACTGAACAGTTCAAAATCACCTAGGCAGCCACACAAATTACACACAATAAATAATAAATATTTATCTATAAATTATCCAATTACCTTCTAGCATAACTGTGTGTGTGTACACGGTGCTGTTACCTGCGTCTGCAGATCATCTCCAGTGACTATGTTCCCAACAGCTCGCAGTGCAGGAGATACAACCTTATAATCTGAGTGCCTGGAACAAAGCACAATTGTGAAGTATGATCAGATGTGTTCCCCCCATGTGTTAGAACGATAGCAACTAATGTTCGACCTCCCTTTCTGCTGTAACGACTTTACAGTGGCTTTATACTTCTTTTTCTATTGGAAATACTATATACTGCAAGCTCGTCTGACTCTGGTAACGCATTAGTCAGACTCAAATACTGTCTGGCCACATTCACAACACACCCACATCTGGATTGTCACCGTCACACCTTATGTTTAGATGACTGTCTAAAATTGCAGACATTGCTCCTCTCCAACAATTCATATCTGAGTTGTGTAATCTTTTATAATCGTAAGTATACAGTATGTGCTTAAAGCCTTACATCAGTAACTCCACCAGCCTGCGACAGACTCCTGAGTCAATAACAGCCTGGATTTTGTCATTGGGGCCATCAGACAGGTAGGAGAGTGCCCAGCATGCATCAGCCAGGATGTCTGTGTCATTGACGAACAGCAGCCAGGACAGCACACTGAGACACGGGGACACCTGGGGGGGAAAAGAGAGAACATGCTGGTATTAAGTTTAATACGAATGACTGTTTCACAGATAGACATAAGCAACTCCGTACAGCTTGTGACCTTGAAAAGTGAGATATGATGTGAGAGGTGTGCTGTTGCCATAGCAACATATTTATCTTGGCAAATTACCTTAGTAAAGTCCGGAGGTGGGTTCTTTCCTCTGCACAGGTTTGAGAGCGCCCACACTGCGTTCCTCATCATGGTTAGACGATTCTGTTTGGCCAATAATCTGCCAAAACGAGCGTGTTTTATTGAGGATACAGGATCAAAGTTACTCTGTATCTTCTGGAGTAATAACAAGATTTAGGAAGAAGACAACGTGACATTGAGTTGTTACTTACTGCACCAGGGAAGGCAGAATGTTGCAGTCTATGACAAAGTCTCTGCATTCTGTGCTGTCTCCTGCTATGTTTCCCAAGGCCCACACTGCCTGAGGGGCAAAGCAATTATTCAGGTCAATCAATAAACAAAATTAAAATGTACAGTATTCAATGGCAGGATTATGTTTTATCCGGTTAAATTAATATAGGTTGTTATAAAAATCAGTAAGACAAAATGAAAAACACCGGTACGTCTAAATTCTCCATACCTGTTCCTGTACGTCTTCGAAATCCGAAGTGAGCATCTCTATGAAAATGGGCACAGCTCCTGCCTGGATTACCACCCGGGTCTGATGGGAGGTACCTGATGCAATGTTGGTCAACACCCATGCAGCTTCAAACTGAAACAACAAAATCAAAATATATAATGTTTATTACACATTGATCACTCAGCGGGCTGCACTGTCGCCTCACAGCAAGAGAGGCCCTTCTTGTGTGGCGTTTACATGTTTTCCTCGTGTCAGCGTGGGTTCCCTCCGGGTTCTTCGGCTTCCTCACACAGTCAAAAGAAATGCAGCTTAGGTTAATTGATGACTCTGAATTGCCCGCAGGTGTGAATGTGAGCGTGAATGGGGAAAAATAGTATCTTTACTAAGTGAAATGTACCTGCAATGTGCAGTTTTCTCTCCTTTTCAGGAACTCAACAAAGCGCTCCACCACCCCTGGAGTAGCAATGACTTCATCAATGGGTGGGTTGGGTTCTAAGTGAGACATAGAGTAGATGTGGACAATATGACAAACGTTAATATAGCAATTATTTTCATAACATTATCTGTCTTTCAATAGATTAAAAAAATGTACTCAAGTATTCCAGATTACATGATTAAATGTTCCTTTTATAGTCAACTTCAATTTATTCATTTTGCTGAAAAAAAATTATGTGTAACCGATTTCCTACCTTATACAATGTATGCATAAAACATCGCCATGTTGAAGGCTTTCAATTGTCATCCGGCTCTCGTAACAATCAAGTATCCATGAGGAATTATGGCAATCAGCTTACCTTTAGAAAGGAGCTTCCTAAAGCGCTGGGTGCCTATTAGCTGCTGCTCAGGAGTACTGGAGAAGATCATTTGAGTCATGTCTTCAGAGATCACTCCACCCTGTACAGCAGAGAGATGGAAATTTGATCAACACAGAAGAAATGCTGTCATATGACTTCATACGTGCTGTGCATGATGGCACCTCATGTAGATTCGATTCTCGTCTTACCGTGAGTGGGTCCATGTTGTTAGCCTGGGACTCCAGGTAGCCGCTATCAGCCATCCCATCGTCCTCTGGGAGGCCATCATCCTCCACTGTGGCAACATTCCTCCTCTTAAAGAGCTACAATAGAATAATATTTAAATAACTTATTTTGGTATTTTTAAGCATATTTCCTTTTCATCGTTATATTGTGAGGAAGACAGCGTGGATTCAAGTTTCCTCCCCGACATTAGCAATACTGGCAATAATACATATTAAAACTCATCCTCTGCTGAGGAGGTCTAAATGACTTCCGCCACACTTTGCTCACCTGTTCATCCTTCTTCTGTTTGCGAAGCTGTAGGCCTTCCTCCTCCCTCCTTCTTCTCATTTCATCTGTGTTAAGGGACTTGTTCTTGTAGCTTTTAAGTCGTGCATTGTCCTTACCCTGACTCATTGTGAAGCCTAGAGAGATACAGAAATAAATGTTATATAGACAGACTTATATAATAAGGTTTGGAGAAAACCTTTTAACTTCCCAATCTGGAACTGAATATCGACAGATGACAAAATCCTATTGCACACCAACAATTATATAACAATGCATGTATGTCTGTATATTTCTTTAGTCAAAGTATATTAGAGTTAGCTGTAAGTAGGGCAATTAAGGATGACCAAAACAATGACTAACTCAAGTAAAACTGCCATATGTAAACGGCAACTGTAGTTTACATGGCTAAATAGGGCAACAGCCCCTCAGCACACAGTTCAACACATTGGGGCATCTAAGGATACTAGCTAGCAAGCTAGCTGTTAGCTTTATGTGATTTGACACGGCGTGATTAATAAATAACCAAACATATCATTATCTCATGCTCTGATGTGATGATTCCCCTTATCGATCCACAAATCACCTAAACACAAAACAATATTAAATTAACGAAGAATAGGTACACGGGAGGGCTACACTTTGTTAGCTAACGTCATAGCCGTTGTTAGCACAATCGACTATCGAAAGCTAACGCTAGCTGGCTGACAGTGGCTAACTGAGTTAGCCAGCGTTAGCTTTGAAATGTAACGTTAGCTCATGCGACAGCCCTATGTTTTTCAAATGTTGCCGACATTAAGAATCAAACTCGCTTATCATTACAAAGCGTTATCACACATATACTAATAAATATAAGTAAGTATTTTGAAATGACCTGTCAAAATGGGCTCTGTAATCCCCTTGTTGTTCGCTAGGCCACCGTTCGTACAGTCGTCGCCGGTATGACAGTGCGCATGCGTGATATCAAACACCGCCCCCCCCCCCCCCCTCCTCTAACAATTCCCCCGCACTTATTTACACTCCGCCCCACCCACGCGACGCTTCTGCTTTGTAAAAGACTAGAAAACCAGCTTCTTCCTTTAAAAATGATGTAGTGTTGTTTTAAACGTGTAATACACATAACAGACACAATGCATATTTGACTGTAAAGCAACACTGCGCTGGGTTCAGACTTTATTTCAATGAACAACCGCAGTGGAAACAGGCCTATACGCACAGCACGCAGCAACATAAACGACCTGTACAGGGATTAAACGAAGCTGAAGACAAGCATTCAAAAAGGACAACTTCAAGGAGTACAGATGCATCCGTCGGCCCCTCAGTTGTACGAACAAGCAGGCTAAGTGCAGTGCAGGTGTTGTGAAAGTTGCACGAACCTTTAAGAATGATACAGTTTTGAAGTGCGCCAGACACGCGCCGGCGCCAGCCCTCATCAGGTGGAGGCGTGGCTGTGTCTCTACTCGAGACAATAACAACACACATCACGTGGCAGACGCTGACATGAACACAACCAGCAGCAACACACACTATAGGAGAGATGCACACATGCACACAACCAGCAGCGGTGATAAACACACACAACAAGCATCATAATAATCATTAATCCCCACTTTTTTCATTACCATCATTGCATGCTAATCTTAAAATAAATGTACAAACATTCACTACGACACACTATAGATATATGTTAAGAATAACGTAAAACCCATAGGTAGAACAGGAAGAAAAGTAATGTAACAACAATATTATTAATGATACTTATCATATCATCTTCCCCACTTGTTCCCGGTGAAGGGATATAGGTTATGAGGAGATGATAAAAGAGCAAAGCAAAAACACAAAGGAATATAAGCACACAAAATCATCAGATAAATAGGCAATTCATTTCCACTGATATGTCCTACATAAAAGCTAGTTTCTTTCTTGTATTTAACATGTTCATCTTGTTCATTATTATTATTGGTAATATTATTGTTGTTATTGTTATTATTATCAGTTGTATTTCTGCATACTTTAACCTAGGCCTATACACTTGAATTCACGTACAATATATTTTTATTTGACGATGTGCGTATGTGTGTGTGTGTGTGTGTGTGGAGGATAAGATCAGATTTTTGCAGGTGACTATTTGACCCTGACAATCAGGGTCAAATAATCCATTAACTCTGTCTGACCCTTTAGCACTTCAGCACAACAGGTGCACTATCTACACAATTTGGAAAGCCGTTTGACCGTTAACCCCCCC